GGTTAGAGCTTTGATTTTTATTCAAGACTCCCAGTTATCTTCCCTCTAAAATACAGGTGCTCCTGGAATTGCCAGCAGCCTTTCTGTGGATGGCAAAGTCCTCGAGTCAACTCTGAGCTACCATTGTAGCTGGCTTCTGGGAGGATGTGAAATGCACTCTACTTTGTTGTCAAGCAACCAAAGGCGTTTGTGGGAGAAGGCCAAAGTCCTGGTGGCAGGTGTACTTATGCAAATAGTTAGCTTTACTCATGGCCCAGGCCAGCAGAGACTCAAGACAGAGGCAGGAAAGCCCAGGGTGGCAAGAAGAGGTCATAGGTCACAGATACAGGCTGAGGGTGCAGAGAAAGGAGGCAGGAAAATTTCCACTAAGGGAATGGAGGGGGGACTAAGGACACCCCTTGACTCAGCTGTTCTGACTGTAGTCTGCAGTGACTCTGAGACCTGTCATGGGGAGTGCAGGGCTCGGTTCCTTACCTACATTACACGATCCTAGAAGCAGAATCATATGGCTGGTGCTTTCTGGGTGCTAGACCATGATGTATAGAATCTGCGTGGATCATCTCATTTCACCCAGACACGGTCTAGGAGGTGAACAGCCATTATCCATTTGCTGTCTGATGTCCCCAGGGTATCTGAACAGGATCTGTGAGGACAAGGGATGTCATTACCGGTGTAAGATCTGGGAGCCATGGTAACTCAGTCTTTGCCAGAATGAAAGTGACTTAATCCTCCCCGGTTAGAATCTTGGTCAAAGTCAGTAACTATTTACCCGAGACTACTAGTCTACCACTTCCTCTGAGGGTTTCAGCTTCAGCCCTGAGGTAGCCACACTGTGATGAGGCAGCAGGGAACAGCCTGGACGCTGGAGAGGTTAGCGCTAAGTAGCAGCTAGCAAGGCCTGGTATGGGACCGAGAGGGCCAGAATGGAACGGGAAGGGGAGTTCTGGCCTAGTCCAGGAACCACAGATGTTAGCAACAGGCAGCAGTCTCCTTGGAGGCATCTCAGAGCAGGGCCTATGGAAATCCTGAAGCCAGATGCTGCCTGTGATGGGCAGCAAGGCTGAGGAAAGTAGGTGGCCAGACTGTCTGTCATAGGCCAGGAATTGGCAAGCTGTTGAGAAGATGGGGCAGATGGGTTTTCTGAAGACAGAGCACCTTCTGACACTTCCTCTGGTCATCTGTGGTCGTCTGTGGACAGAGCCTTTTCCTGGGGCTTTCAAAGGAGACTGCACCCCAGTGATGAAGCAGGTTTGGACAAGCAGTGGCCTCAGGCTGCCCATCCCCAGGGCTCCAATCCTGCATGAAATTAATTCTTCCCCTTTTCTCCCAGGACCTGTTTCCAGGTAGTGCCGATCCTGTTGTAAATGAGACAGTATTTGGAGCTCTCAGCAAATCAGGGCTCAAAGAATATTTTCTTGTTTTAATTAGCTTTGTTTGATATTTAAAAGCCCTGTAATGTGCTGCTTGATGTCCTGGAGCCTCGTGATCGGAACAGGTTATTCAAATCACTTTCTCCTTAGCTCTGAAGCAGGCGGCCTGCACCAGGCATCTCACAGGTGACCTTGGTATTCAGATGAAGTTCATGCGGTGTCTAGCAAGAGTGTCGGTCTGAACTGTTTCGTGTCCAACTCCCTCTGGACCGTTCTCTGCCCAGATGCCACTTCTGCCCCTGTTGCCATGGGTAGGTGGCTGGTTTAGGAGCCAGTAGTGTTTTCCAAGATGAATACTGCCACCACCCATTCTCCAGGCTCTGCTCACCTGAGTCTGACCACATGGCCTCAGTGTTAGTAGGTGCCCCCCTTTTTCTGGGCCACTCTAATGAGGTCTGCGTGAGGGAACCCCTCCTGATGAAACATTTCCTACTTAGCCCCCTCCTACTTCCTGCCCCCTCTCTCGCCACCATTCACCTGAACCCACTCCTGCACCGCTAGGCTGGGCCAGCTCCAAGGTCCTGCAGCTCCAGCATTCAAAGCACTGGTAACAATTCCAGTCCGTTCTGACTTCCATGTCATAGACTCAAGGCTGGGCCTAGCACCAGGAGTATTTTTCCTTCCCAATTTTAAAAATGGAGAAGCAAAATCGTAATATAATGGTAGTTTCTTAATTTAAAAAAAAAAAAATCAAGGTCTGCTTGGGCAACTTGGGCAACAGTCTTGTCTCTAAAAAAAAAAAAAAAAAAAAAAAAAAAATGCAAAGGGGGCTAAGATGGTAGAGCACTTGCCTAGTATACAGGAAGTCCCAGGTCCAGTGTTAGGGTTAGGGTAGGGTGTGGGTGGGGGATGGAAACAAACATGAGTGGAGATACTTAGAGGAGACTAAGTTGTTTGAATTGGGTCTTGAAGGATATGTATGAGTCAGCCTGAGGCAGGGGCAGTGTCACAGTCTAGACCAAGGATCTCTGTCCACATTGTTACTGAGTGATTATTAATTTGTGTGACAGGTGCTGTAAGTGCTGAGGAGGACAGCAATGATAATGGTCTCCTTGCTCTTGAAGATGCCCAAGGTATCAGGGCCCCCCACCTTGCCTGTGTGATACACGCTAATCATGTTTGTGGCTATTTGCAGGGGGCATTCCTGTGACAGCGACATCTGGCAGGTGGCAGTCACTGGGGAAGGGGAGGGTAGTTGTGCAGCTGCTTCCCCATGCCTGCAGTGGACTGGGGGATGGTTGTGATGTCAAAGAGCCGTTTTCAGAGCTGGCTTCAAGGGGATGGAAGAGTTGGCTCCAAAGCACCAAGCAAAGGCGCAGTGGTCATCCGGGAGTTGCACAGGCGCAATGGTCATCCGGGAGTTGCACAGGCGCAATGGTCATCCGGGAGTTGCACAGGCGCAGTGGTCATCCGGGAGTTGCACAGGCGCAGTGGTCATCCGGGAGTTGCACAGGCGCAGTGGTCATCCGGGAGTTGCACAGGCGCAGTGGTCATCCGGGAGTTGCACAGGCGCAGTGGTCATCCGGGAGTTGCACAGGCGCAGTGGTCATCTGGGGGTTGGCCTTTCCACTCTCACTTCATAGCAGCTCCCAGGAAGGTACCTGAGTCACTGGAACGGGGTCTCCTGCCTGTGGCTCAGGCCAAGGCCTTCATCATTTGCTGCTGCTACTGAGAACTGCACCTCCCGCTTCACAGCCTCATCCTTGCTTCTCCTTTCCCTGGGCAGCTGCCCAGGCCTGCCTTCTTCCTTCCCTGCTGGGTGTGTAGCCCAAAGCCTGAGCTCACAGCACAGAGCCTTCTGCAGAGGAAAGGGGGACATATGGACTGGGGAGGGAGTCTGTAGACTGTCCACCTACCACACTCTTCCTGGTGGTTGTGTGTCTGGACACCCTCGTGCTGCAGGAGGGCTGTGGCTCATGGACACTCATGTTCTTCCCCGGGTCTGACCAGTAGCAGGAGCCTGCTCTGCTGATAAGAGGGTGTGTGGAGGGCTCTTCCCTGCTTTGGGCTCTGCAGCTGACATAGAGTCTGACATCTCAGAGATGCAGTTTGGCCTCCTGTGAGGTCTTGTCCCTGGCACAGGAAAGCCCAGACTTTCTACTTCCTTCAGGAGCTGGCCTGAACCTCACAGAAGATGCTTTCGCACGGCCAGGATAGAGGCATTGTGCTCCCTGGGCTTGAGTAACACAGATGGCAACTCAGGTCCTGAGCAAAGGGAAGGAGATGAGGCAGGCTGGGACAGAGAGCCACACAGCCACTCTGTGAGGTCTGCTGCTTCACTATATGCATGGGGAGACTGAGGCTCGTAGAGGTATATCAGCCGTGAAACCAGGAAGTGGCAGGAGGAAGCCAGCGACTGTGGAGGAAAATTGTCCAGGTTCAGAGGTGGAGTGCATCCCTACAGTATGCAAGGCTCTGGCTTCCTTCCAACATAGCCAAAACCGAAACAAAAGAAGAAAATGGTTGGGGGGAACCCACTGATAATCCTTTCTTTACATTTTCCTTACAAAGGGATATTTTGAGACTGAAACTCGCACATAAGTGGAAAAATGGAACAAGAAGCTAGTGATTGAACACAGGCCACGCCTGCCACTTCCGGCCCTGAGCAGCCCTCGCCCTGTCCATGGGGTCACAGCAGCTAGGCAATGGGCCAGCCTGGGTGAGACCTTGTCTCGGTCCCAGAATCACTGATCCCACTGATCCCAATGGCTGTGGAGTGTGACTGCTGGCCATAGTGGCCTGAGCCATTCAGGAGCCGGATGGGGAGCAGTTACTTGTTTTCCCTAGGAAATTGAATAGTATATATTTTTTTTTTTTACAAGGATTCATCTCGAAGGACTGTACCAAAGAGAAACGATGGTGGTCTCTATCTGAGATGTGGTGTCCTGAGAAGAGCACCTTAGGGGTACAGAGAGGGATATGAGGGGCTGGACCAGGGAGAGCTTGGCCTGGTTCAGCCTCTCCCCTCAGCTCCAGATCTCTGTGGGCAGCATTCAAAGCCTCTCCAGATGTTGTCACTTTAAGCTATACCCATGAGTTCCAGGACTTTCTTATTGTGACCCACCCTGGACAGTGGTGCATCCTAGGGGGTCTTTGGCTCCTGCTTTGCAGTTATGCATTATAATGCCACCCTCAAGCCTTCCGTGAGTCCTTGTATGCAGCTGCCCAGATTCCCGTACACCTGTACTGCAGCCTGGCCTTGCTCCTTGGAAGGACATGCCAGGGTATCATGAACCTGAGGATGCCTGTCATTCCAGCTGACTGATAGATCGGGACCTGGGTGTTGTACATGAATGGAGTGGGAAACCTCCTCATGGCTGGTGTCCCTCTTCACAGAGTCATAGGAGTATTTGTCTGGCCCTGTCCTGCTGATGCCAAGTAGGGTGGCTGGGACTGTGTGGGAGGGGCATAGGCTTCCTTTGGTCACTGGCCATGTGTCTAAGGCCTGACAGTGGCTAGGTTCCAAGTGTTTGTGGGAGATTAATTGGTTCTCTCTCTCTCTCTCTCTCTCTCTCTCTCTCTCTCTCTCTCTCTCTCTGTCTGTCTGTCTCCTGCCTGCATCCTCTCCAGGGGGGCTTTCTCTGTGGTCCGACGCTGTGTCAAGCTCTGTACCGGCCATGAATATGCAGCCAAGATCATTAATACCAAGAAGCTGTCAGCCAGAGGTAGGATCCCGCAGGGGTCACCTATCGGGACTGTGGTGAGGGGACCAGGAATGCCAAGGCCTTCAGACGGCTCTGGCTGAATGGATATGGGAGGAATTTGCCTTCAGACCCATCACAACTTCCATTCTCCCATGTGGGGGTTACCATGTAGTCCTTCTGGATTCTCCTTCTCAGGCCTGCTGGGTCTCTGTTCCAGACCTGAAGAGACAAGTTCTCATGCTGGCAAGGCACTGGGGGTCTAGGAGGTATTTTCCTAAAAACTACGGCTAAGGAGAAGCAGTGACTCCAGGCTGTGGGTGGGTGACGGCAGGGCTGCTGGTGATGGCTCGCTGTTGGTGAAGGCGTCCCTGGCTCACCTTGGGTATCCCAGACTTAACTGAGTCTTCTGAGAAGAGTGTGGCCTTGCCTGTTCCAGGGTGGCCTGTGCAGGCTTGCAGATGTGCGAGGAAGGGTCTTCCATGATGCTGGCTGGGCGAGCCACCCAGGCAGAGAGCCAGGGTCTTGGGGGGGGAGGGTGGGGCACATCATTTCAGGCAGGTTATCACAAGTCACTCTTCTGATTTCCTGGGGATGGGTACAGGGTGAGAGGGGGCAGGGAACTGCAAAGGGATCTGGATAGAGTGTCCAAGTGGGGTGGGCCCATGTGTTGTGGACCCCATGGGTCCAAGTGTTGAGCCCATGGGGTTGTGGAGTGGGTGGCTGCCAATGTGCAATGGCATTGCCACATCACCCCTCTCTTCCCACATCCTCCTCCAGACCTCAGACACTCAGCCTGAGTGGGCTTCCAGACTAAAATCTGAGCTAACCAAGGGCCAGGGAGCCCTGACCTCTCTCGTCCTGACTGGAAGATGCTGAGGGGCTGAATTAGGCCATAGGCAGGGTCTTATGGTGGGCATGTTGAGGGTGTGGACCACTTACTGACGGCAGATTCGGTCTACAGTTTACAATCTGACAGCCCACAGTCACACAGCTTATCCCACACCTACAATTGATGGGCATATGTGTAAGCATGTCTGAGCACCTGCTGTATACCAGACTATCGGGGCTCTTGTATGTGTTTCCTCTTGGAAGCAGTCTCTGAATTATGGATAGGGATCTTCAGGACTTCCGGTGCCTCAGCACCAGCTGCCATCTCCATCCCCATCTCCAAGTAATGCCCAGGGTGCTTAGTCCCCATGTTGAACCTCCATCCCCAGAGGGCCCGGGAGGGTGATGGTATGAAGAAGCCATGGCTGTAACAGGAAACAAGTTCTCTTCCGTACCCTAGGTGGGGGAGTCATTTGGTAGAAAGGCTTGGGTGTCCCTTCTCCTGAGATTCTTCATGGGCTAGATGTGGGTCACCTGCTGTCAGTGACACCCCCCACTCCCCCACCTCCGTCCTGAGCTATGATCTGTGAGCTTGGGTCTTCTCTGCCAAGACACAGAACGAGTGTGGAGCCCTCCATGCTCAGAGCGAGCCCAGGCCTGGTGTGAGATCAGCTCCCGTGGAGCCCGCACCCTCTCTGCTGGTGAGAAAGCACAAGGGAGAAGGCTCATGATTCAGGATGCATTAGGTGTGCGCGCGCATGTATGACTTTGTGTCTCTGCGCAGTATGAATGTGCGTGTCTGTGTCTGCACTCTGTGGTGTTGGCGTTAGCTCCCACAGAGGACTTGCTGTGTACCCTGTACCCAAACTCAGGACACTTCTGTGCTCTCTGACACAGCGTTGGTTTGCACACAGGTGTGAAACGTTTTTGGCCTCGTAAGGCAGGTGGGACATGGGCCTCATGTGCCCAGGAGGTTCCCGGGCACCTTTGTGGTCAGCCCGGCTGCCTTTCATCACCATTCCTAGACTTCTCCAGCTTTGCCGCGTCCCACCCATGTCACTCATTTCCAGGAGGGCTGCCTGGCGCTCAGGGGTGGCTGGGAGACAGGTTGCTTCCCAGTGTTGTGTGCTGTTCTTTTGAACAAAGACTGCTCTTCTCCCAGCCCTGCGCTAGTCTCTGGCTGTGCTCGCAGACCCACTGGAGCCTTGGCCAAGCGAGTTGCTCGGGAAAAGCTACACAAGTTGTTTGGCAAAGCATGCTGCTTTCCCAGTCAGTTTAGTCATCTAAGAACCCCACCCAGATGTATTAACTTCAGCACCCAGAGCCCGGAATACTTCATGTCTCCTTTTGCCTCTCCATCTACCACTGAGAGGTAGTAGCCATTCCTCAGCCCTCCTCGGTCCTCCCGGGCCCCCCTCAGAATCCGTGCTGACTTAGACCTTGGCCCCATCCCAAGGAAGTACAGAGAGCTCAAGCCCCACCCGGCCTGGTGGACCTCTGCAGGCTATATGACCCCGCATGGCCACTCGCTGGACATCTTACTTCACAGTGGTAGCCCAGCACTGTGCTGCTGGCCCCTGTTTCAGGTCACCTCACCTTTGCCAGCTTTTTGTGTCCCCTTTCACATTTAATCTTGTCTGTGGGCCAATTCAATACCCTGCTATGTCTACACAGACCCTCACCCATCCTACAGATTCACCCCGCATGCCGGGTGGGGCTGCGAATGGGTTCCTGGGCGGCCACTCAGAGAGTGTAACCAGGAGTGGAGCTGAATGTCAGTGATGACCCAAATACATGGTCCTGTTGCCATCCTGCTGCAACCAAGCACATGGTAGAAACAGGTTTGAGCATTTGATGACATCAAGGAAGTGTGACAGTGCCTCTTCTGCTGGGGATAGATGCTGAAGCATCCCATGCAGGATGATGAGTAGTCTAGGGTCTGGGCCACACACAGGCAAGACCCACCAAGAGCTGATATTTGAGAAAAAGGCCTATGTTAAAAGTTCATCATGGAAAAGAAAAAGAAAAGCTCAAGGAAACGCCAGGGCTGGGCAGTGAGCAACCCAGCTGGGCTCAGCCTGCTGTCCTGAGGGCAGACTACCCCTCGAGAGAGAGTAACAGGGAAGAAGGGGAGTGTGTGCAAATGCTCATAGCTTCAGACCCACCCCAGCTGCTGCCCCACCATCCACTGTCCAGCCCAGCTGGCAGGGAGCAGGGTCTGTGATCAGGCTCCCTTGCCCACACACCAGCAGTTCCTTTCTGCAGCCTGGCAGCTAAAGGGTCCTGGGCTCTCTGACTGGGGAGGAACAAGGGCAGAGTCATGGGAAAGAAACCACACCACACCTGGGGAGTGAGATGCCCACGCCCCTTAATCCTCCCAACTTGTGAAGCACTTTGAGGATATAAATAGGGGGATTGGTTAAGTCCAAGGAGGCTGCCAAATTCTATGAAAAAAATACTCAGATTGTTTTCTGCTTAAGCCGAACAAACTTCTGCTTCCCTACAATACTCAGCCAATGCAACTTTTGGAGCGCTTTTTCTGACCTCCAGGAACCCATTCGCAGCCCCACCCGGCATGCGGGGTGAATCTGTAGGATGGGTGAGGGTCTGTGTAGACATAGCAGGGTATTGAATTGGCCCACAGACAAGATTAAATGTGAAAGGGGACAGAAAAAGCTGGCAAAGGTGAGGTGACCCGAAACAGGGGCCAGCAGCACAGTGCTGCTGTGAAGAAAGATGTCCAGCGAGTGGCCATGCAGGGTCATACAGCCTGCAGAGGTCCACCAGGCCGGGTGGGGCTTGAGCTCTCTGTACTTCCTTGGGATGGGGCCAAGGTCTAGGCCTGGCGATTGTCCTTTCTCACCCGGTGAACCCAAGATGATTATCTGCTTGAACCTAATCAGCTACTACTACCCCTGATCAATCTACTTACCCACAGTGCTCAGCCAATGCAACTTTTGGAGTGACTTTCTGACCTCCGAGCAACTCGTGACTGTGGTACAGCTCCAGAACCCTAACCAAGAGGGAGGCCTGCCAGGAAAAGCTGCCCCTACCAGCCCCGGATCGGACCTGAGTCTGAGCAATAACCCCGACCTTGCCTTGCCTTGGCTGATGTGGGCTTTGCTTCTGTTTCCCCTCAGTCTGCCTCGGGAGGGATGGTGCTAGCCGTGCTAGGAGACCAGTGACGGCCAGGAGGTGGCACTGTGGAGGCTCCTTCCTGGCTCCGCTTAGCAAAGAGACCCCTGCCTTCATCAGCCCCCTTTGTCCACATTTCTCTGTCCTGTGTTTCTGCTGCCTTCCCTGGGGTCCCCAAGACTCCTTAACCGCTAGCCTCTTGCACCCTTTGGAAGGGGTGATGGCGAAGGTGTCAGGTGAGCTGTCAGCTCCAAGATAGGCGACTCCTTTTGCTGCCTGGCAGCAGCTCTGTCTGATGTTCTCCCCGATGCTTTAACCCCCCTGCACCTCAGTTTTCCCGGCTGAACATGGAGGTGAAGTGGCCCGCTCAGGACTGCGCTGGCTGCATGCATGTAGCTGTCCCCGCTGCTCCTTTCCCTGGCCAGATAACAGTGGCACTCATACTCCCAGGGCTTCACGTGGGCACCGCTGTCCTCTGTATACTCAACCCTCTTCACGCTCCTGTCCTGGATCTGCTGGTTGAGCCCTGCAGGCCCTGGGACCACTCGCTCACTTTGCAGCCTCCCAGCTGAGAGCTGGGAATATATAGGATCGTGCTATCCATGGTGTCCAGCTTTTCTTGGGGTCTTTGCCCAGTTGTCCCAACATCCTTCTTCCTATACAGTGGGTTCAGATTTCTTGAAGTAGGGAGAAGGGGATGGGGCCCTGAAAACACAGGGGGATTCTAGACACCTGCCTGCCACCTTCATTTACATTTGTTATTCACGTTCAGGGAAGAGATGGGGACCTCGTTTTTCCTCAGGCATCCCCAGAACTGTGGGGAGAAGGGTGGCCCCACATCTAGTGCACCCAGAGGGGGGCAGCTCTGGGCCTTCAAGCTGTTGGGAGGAGGAACTTGGCACTGAATCCAGAAGAGATGAGGCCTCCCAGTACACGACAATGCTCAGTCAAACACACTATGCCAAAGGCTGCGACACTCAGATTTTAAAATTTTAATACTTAATTAAATAGAGAATTGTGAGACATTCAGTCTGTGAATGTACTGAATAATTAGCGAT